CCTATAAGAATCTACAATCAAACAGACAATTACATCATTGGTCGCGAGTTAGCTGTGAAGATACTATCTACTGTATTATCTTCTACTGCTGCATAGAAAGGAAACAAAGAGTACGAATTATCCTAGAAACTAATATCTATGAAGAATTTTATGGCCAAAGAAATTTAGGAATCAAAGGAACAATCTTTTGGAATAAAGTTCGCTTATTCAATACCGTATAATGTATTGGTGTGACAGATTCGGAATGTTTTACTTAATTGCGTCTTCTATCTATCTTGATATTCTCTACAGGAAGAGTGAAGTAACTAATTAGGCTAGCATATTAACCATAAAAGTGGATCATAGAGAAGAGCTTCAAACGTAATATATAAGATTGGGTATTACAAAACGTAATGACCATTGTAAAACTATATGTATGCAATTGTATAGATAAAAAAAATTATTTACTTTATCATAAATATGCGTTGCAGATATGTACTTATTACTGTCACCTTCAATCATACCATGTGATTTTGTTTTTGCTCTGTTAAATGAATTGGCTATCGCTTCAAAGGAGAGCAGCTTCCACGCAGCTAAAAATTTAGAAAAGATCACGTCGGAAAATCTCCATTTTTTCGAAAGGTGCTATACATATATTTAAAGTATCTCAAGATACGTATTATTCTAATTAGACGATCTATGAATCGTATGTTCATTCCACCACAGCAGATAATTTCTGACCTCATCAAGTGTTATAGGAAAGTAGAAAAGTAAACTGATTGCAAGGTGACTGACTCTCTGACTAAAGAGCCACGGCAACAATTCTAACAGAACCGCTAATAAAGTATCGAGAACTACGTATCAATCAATTCAAGATAGCGCTGTGATACATCCAAAGATTTTAGAAATTATTAACCAAAATACTTCTACGACAACATCGATATAGAGAAAAGTCTTTTATTTAAGGCTATTATAACTAATTCGAAAGTGAATGGCACCAAGATCTGTTTTATTTTAGGCCATACATAACATTCTACAGAATTAAGCAGTAAAAATGACATATCGGATACTGCCAAAACTTTAGACGAGCGCTTCTCCAATACAAATATTAAGGCATATTAATTCCGTGGTAGCTATTCTGTAACATAATGTATATTAGCGACGCTATACCTACAGTATATAGAAATGTTGTAGTTTATGCATTAAAGTAGAGATAAACTCTATAGATCTTCAGTTAATGGACTGTATAGCTGCTTAAATTCATTTAAACTTTGTAAGTAATTATCCGCATCTATTTTGAATTTTTACTATTTGGTTCTTAAGAGTAAAATTCAAAGTCATTTAAGCGGCATTGACTACAATTTATCATGTTTTCGACGCCTGATATTCGTGGTGCTATATTCGAACTTGGTCTACAGCTTACTCAATTTATTTAATCATAATTTTATTAATCAGTCAATTTACTTAAATTCTAAATTTTATATTATTGGATATATAAATATCAAATTCGAATAAACTCATTGTGAAAATTGTTGCCGGGTGTTGGTTTTACTCATCATATGTGCCTGCGATTACAGTTGTGATTCAGTATTTGACTGAAATTTTACAAACTTGCATAGTGCTTAAAATCTTTTAGAAATAATATCGTTGTGTATAAGACAAATTTAAAATTAGACGTTTGATTGCTAAATTCGAAAGGAATTCGGTTACTTGAAGCTTGAATTAGTGTACGACTTTGACGCTTATGCAAGAATAAATCTGACACAATAGCTATATAGTTTCGATTATTGTACCGTTAGTACTTTGAATATAACAGCCATTATTTGTATAAAAAGAGAAAAATATGCACTTCTCAAAGCCATCTTGAATTAATGTCGAAAATAAGAACAATTAAGAAATGAATTTAACCAATGAAATCAATAGCTAACCTTACATAACCCTTCATAATTATATTTCAATCGATTGCGCACCCGTTTAATTTTATAAACTGGCTTTGATAATAACTAATTGTAAATTTGCATAACATATATAGTAAGGTTTTGTCTAGATAGCCTGGTTCTACTGCAGTTGTAGACTGTTTATTAGGTAGTCTCTATCTCAAGTAAATTTTGCTCAAAAAATAATGGTAGAGCAATCATCATGCGATGTGTATTACATCACTCATTATTCTATTATTATTAAAGAGTTTATAATGAGGTTTATTGAAATCAGAATCTATTGGCTAATAGGAACTGCTTTACTTCAGTACTGATCAAATTTTGCTTTTGAAGTACAGTAATCTTCATAATTTGTTTGGAAGATCCGATGTTTCCGTCAATCAAATAAAGGGCTTTCCTGTTTACCTAGCAAATCGATTGTGTAGTTCATGATTGATTTTTTAAATAATTCTCGTCTGGGTAATAAAAGATTTTGATAAAAGATTCTGACGTAGGCTGTAATAAATCGTGCAGCTAATCATAATACGCTATATCTGCTGACTATATTGGGATCTTAAGGTCGTTGATGCTTTTTGTATAAGTTTAGAGCTCAAACTTCCTACTTACTTACGATGCGATTCCTAAACGCTAATATATTAGGCTTGGTGTAATGCCCAACTGGATATGGCATAGGGTCAAGCTAATTAATAATATCCACAATATCTTCCTTTTCAGAACTTAATAAATTACCATCAATCATTTAGCGTGGTATAGACCGAAATTATGATGGA